TCCCCCAGTGAGGGGCTGGGGTGTGGCTCAGTGGTAGAGCCCCTGCCTAGAATCCCCCAGTGAGGGACTAGAGAGGTAAAGTTCAATTCTGTCAAGAAGCAGAATTTTGAGGGAACTTTTTGTCCATGCATTGGTTTCACCGGCATGTGGTCTGGTATTGATGAGGCAAACAGAAGGCTAGAAATGTGACTCAGTCAGCAGAGTGCTTGCCTAGATTACAGGGAGTTATTCCCACAGTTCCACATAAAAGCAGAGGCTCACATCTCTCATCCCAGCACTGGGAGGTGGAGGCATAAGGATTAGAAGGTCAAGGTCAGCCATCACTACATAGCAAGTTTGAGGACAGCCTGGACTATAAGAGACCTTATCTCAAGGAAAAAAACAAGCAAACAAAACAGTGCTGGGTGTGGTGGCACACACCTGTAATCCCAGCACTTTGGGAGGCAGAGGCAGGTGGATTCAAGGCCTACCTGGTCTACAAATTGTGTTCAGGACAGCCAGGGCTACACAGAGAAACCCTATCTCGAAAAATAAACAACAACGAGGAAAAAAAAAAAGTGAAAATAACTACTGGATCATTCCTTGGAGTTTTAGTTGCACTCAGCAGAAGAAACAGGGAAAAGGAGAGTCAAGTCTTTGATATCCTCTGCTTTGGAATCTATGGATTCAGCCAAACATGGATCAGAAATGTTGTTAGGACAGTCTCTGACATGAACTCAGTTGCAGACTCTTTGACCTCCCCCCCACCTCCTGTGGGAGGAGCAGCCTAGCTAGGCCACAGTGGAGGACATTTCAGCCAGTCCTGATGAGACCTGATAAGCTAGGGTCAGATGGAAGGGGAGGAGGACCTCCCCTATCAGTGGACTTAGAGAGGGGCAGAGAGGAGATGAGGGAGGAAAGGTGGGATTGGAAGGGAATGAGGGAGAGGGCTACAGCTGGGATACAAAGTAAATAAACTGTAATTAATATATAAAAAAATGAAAAAAATTAAAAAAAGGCAAAAAAAAAATGTTGTTTAGTCCCAGCACTAGGGGGTCAGAGGCAGGCTGATGTCTGAGAGTTAGAGGCCATCCTGGACTACATAGCCAGGCCAGCCAGGACTACATGGTGGAAGCCTGCTTTTAGAAATATATTAGAATCTAACATAGACAGGAGCGTCACATGAGGCTCCACCCATCCTGAAGAGGTCTGGTTGTTAATTAAAGGTGTATACCACCATGCCCAGATAGTCCTTCCTTTTCAAACACAGTTTTGGTCAGGGATCAAATCCAGGTCTTTACAGTTAATTTTGGAGTTTCTCCACCTTGGTTGTGCCCCTGCTATATTACTACTTTGGAAGGGGCAGTATTGCAGGTTAAAAGTAGGTCCTTGCACATGATAAACAAGTGCTCTACCACTGAGCCACACCCCAGCCCCTCACTGGGGGATTCTAGGCAGGGGCTCTACCACTGAGCCACACCCCAGCCCCTCACTGGGGTATCCTAGGCAGGGGTTCTACCACTGAGCCACACCCCAGCCCCTCACTGGGGGATTCTAGGCAGGTGACCACTGAGCCACACCTCAGCCCCTCAC